GCGCGCGGCGGCCGCGGCGGCGGCGGCGCTGCCCGGGAAGATCGGGGTGGTGATGCGCGCGATCTTGGCGGCCTGCGGGAAGGCGCCCCCGTTGGTCTTGTAGAACGAGGTGGCGAACGAGCGGTAGCGCTCCATCTCCGAGTTGTAATCCACAAGGCTGTTCAAGGCGCCCTCGGGCAGGTGGCTCTCCTTGGGCAGACCCGGGGTCTCCGGGCTCGGGCCCGGTTCCACGCAGACATTGCTGTTCATGGTGCAGGGTGGAAAGAAGGGGTGCAGGGTGGAAGTGGTGGGGACCGCCGGGTCCGACACCTGGGTGGGAAAGGGGGGGAGGTGGGGGGGCGGGAAGGGGGTGATGGTGGTGTTGGGGTGGGGGCTGGGGTGGGGGGAGGGGAGAGCGGGGCCGGGTGGGGAGAGCAAGGTGAAGGGTGGCTTTATTCCTCTCCGGGGCGCATTTCCATAGACGGTGCACTGCCGGGCAGCTGCGTCTTCCTTTGCATTATCCTCCAACTGTTACAACTAAAAGAAAGAAAGTCATTCCAACGAGCTGCTGCACGGAGGGGGGGGGGTTAAAAAAAAGGTTTAAAATAAATAAACAGCCTCCTTCACAGACACCCCCCTCTCCAGTTATCCCCTCCCCGAAGCGCCTACATTCTTCAGGCGGGTCGTTTGCATAACAATCATCAAGACGTGATTCCACCCCCCCCTCTGCTAATTCCTAGCCCCCCCCACTTCCTACCCCAGCTCCCTCCCTCCCAGCAGCACCGCACAGCTTCTCCCCCTCCCCCTATTCTTGTAACCCTCCTGAGAAAATGTATTAATAGCCAGGATACCCAGGGAAAGAGGGAAGACGGGGTGACGAAGGCTGAGGGAAAAGGGCAATTGGAGTGCTAAAGACATGCAAATCAGGGGTGGGAGGGTGATACTACCTATAAGCAGAGGGCATTTAAACATTATGAAATGTGTGAACAAGTGCTGTCGGGGCATGCAAATGCTGCAAAGTAGAAGGGAAAAAAAAAAACCACCAGCAATGGCCCTATGAGGAAAATGAACAGGAAATTAGCAAATGAAGTACTGAGAAAGTCTACAATACATCCGAGTATAAACTGTAAGCAAACACAATACAACTGAGAGCTAAGAGACTGCCCACATACAATCTGAACTAAAGAGGCAGGGAGAGAGGCTAGAGAGAGAGAAGAAGAAGAAGAAAAAAAAAGGACTACCAGCTGCCACTGTGTCCTTCTGTGTCTGCGGTCATTAGTTTGAATCCCAGCACAGCTGGCTCTGTTAGGGTCTTAATTCAATGGACCAAGGACAGGTCTCAATTGTACAAGCCATTTGGTGGTGGGGCTTGATCGGGGGTAAGAGGATGGTGTTCTACTTATTTAAAAGAAAGGGAGGGGGGAGAGAAAAGAAAGATGCACCCGATAATTTAAAAAGAAAAAAATACAAGCAATGTCAAAGGCTTTGAACCTAGTGGCTGCAGCCTCTGTCAGAATATTCCCAGTTATTCCCCATGGAGATTGCTGTCTCTTTCCAAGATAAGAGGAAAGCATGGATGGGACCCCCCCTCCCCCAGCCACACGAATTTCTCACAATCACTGATTTTTCTACATTGAAAAATGTAGAAAAGATCCCTGAAGAAATAACCATCACAATATTTTTTTTTTCTTTTGCTCCTTTGAAGGAGGAAAGTTTAATGCTAACTGGGTGTTTGCATTCATCTCTCTGCTTACAAGAAAGCCATTATTCTGCTTTAGGAAGAGGTATTTTAGTTGTATATTACACAGAGAAAGATACATCACAGCCTTTTGAGAAGTAAAGGTATAAACTGTGTATGCACCTTAAAAACCAGTGTCTTTGTTTTCAGATACATATGTATGTGTATATATACATATCTATATGTAGAATATCTTTCTGTGACATCTTTTAAAGCCCACAGATTGGTCTAACATGTGGAGTTCTGGGAATTCTTAATGTGGGCCCAGTAGTCTCAGCCTCAAATATTCAGACTTTAAAATGGATATCAATTATAGTAATTACACTTATAATTAGATTAATGAACCATTTATGCCTAAACTCCAAGTGCAAAACTTCCAAGACCTACTGATGAGGTGCCCTAAAAACAGAAGTTTATGTAAACAAATCTCTATTAGGCAAAGTAAATCAAGATAAGGAACCTCACCCCAGGCTGGATAAAAAGCTAGCAGGCATCTTTTCAATCACAGCAAGTAACTAATCATTCAGGAACACCTCTGTGGTTTCACATTAGGGAAAACTGCTCTCTTGTAGGGTCTGATGGCAATACAAAGGGTGCCCCCAAAATGCTCCTGGCTAGAGATTCTTGATGCTTGGAAGGGATGAGAGGGTGAGGGGAAGGAAGATACTGCAAGAATATGCATATAGCTTCAGTTTCTGCAAATCACATTGCAACTGCAAGATCCTAATACATGCTACTCAGTTCAAACTAGTTATGCCAACCATGCACTAGGTATCATCACACTGAGTAGAAGGGAAATCAACATTTCAGTCTTTTGACCTTGTTCCAAATACAGGAATAATGCAATGTCCCCTTTCAGAGTCTCAGAGTGGTGTTTCAAAACAGAAGCTGTTCTTGCTTTTCTCATGGCCACCACCTCTCCCCACTTCCAACCTCAAGGTTTAATGCCGCCAGAAACTGTAGAAAAGGATTGTACCCAGTCTCTAGGTCATTATTGTTTAATCCTTGCATCTCTGGAACATGAAAATAAAGGTACCTAAGCCACCTCTATTGTTTGGATTGTATTTAGCATTAAAATAACACACACACACACACAAATAACTCTAGTCCTATACCAAACCTCAATTAAACATCCAGACTTCATGAACCCTAGTTTGCCTTTAAACAATGTGACTGTACATACCTAATATTGTATGTCTGCTCTACCAGAGACACAGAGATCAAAGGTCACATTTAACATTCAGGAGGAGGGGGCGGGTACAGATTAATTAATAAATTAATACAGCCACGGCTTTTATTGCTGGAGTCCAGCATTAATAATCTACTTTTACAATCCCAACGGACAGCAAACATTGGAGAGAGACAGATTGAGAGAGAGAGAGAGAAAGATTGAGAGAGAGAGAGAGTGGTAGCCAGAGAAAGAGAAAGAACAATCACTTACCAGTCTCTTTTTATTTGGGGAGCCTTAGAATTTGCAGACGCTGCCAGTCTGCCTTTAATTAGTTGCACATCACCCCCTAACACAAAGAAACACAAATCCAGATGTGTCTTGGCAGCTCCCAATTACAACTTTAATACTTGTAAACAAACTGTTGGGGAGGGGGGGGTAAATAAATATGCGGATCAAAAAAAATACCTGTAAATGGCTTTTTTTTTCTTGTTGCAGAGAGGAGGAGGAGGAGATGGTGTTAGTGGTGGGGGTGGCAGGAGGAGGAGGTGGGGGGGGAGAGGAAAGAGCCGAGTGTGCGTGTATGTGTGAGAGCCGAGCGCGGGGCTGTAGCCGGTGGTCTGTCCTCTCCCAGCGCGTTGCTCTCCGTCCGTCTCCAGTCGCTGTGTGCGAGGGAGGGAGGGAGGGAGCCGGGGAGTCTCTCCTCTCTCTTTCTCACCCTCCCCCCTTCTCTCTGTTTGTGTGTGTGTGTGTGTGTGTGTGTGCGTGCGCGCGTGTGTGCGTGTGTGTGTGTGTGTGTGTG